CATCATATGACCCTTCACAGTGTCAGTAAACCGAACTTGATATGATACAAGTGTTATAAATGCGACAAGTTGTAAGGAAACACTCTTAATAAATGCATTTTCATAGAAATAACATCCCACCAGTGATTTATCAGATGTCATTGTAAAGTTTCAAATGAAAAAAAAAATGTTCACTGCAGAGTGGTTTATTTTGATATTAGACGAACCATATTAGTCCAACAGTTTTTATGTCTACTGACTCACTTTTTGGACATCGATTTTCGTATTCTTAACATTTTGTATTCTAAAACTATTGCTAGTGTTGTTGTGAGTAAATGGTCGATGGCTCGATGCAGCATGTGGCCATCTGTTGCCGTCTGTAAAGTATAAAAAACATTAATGTTTGCATCATTTAAAGACATCATTAGTTGTAGTGTATCAGATGTTTCCTTATAACATTCTGTATTTATAGCCAAGATGTTACCTTTGTAAAATGATTCACAAGTCCACGACATCGACATCTGAAATACCGTGTCATTTCGTGTCCACATTTCTAATGGCCACGTTACAAAATCTTTTATCGTAAATGCCATAAACGTAGCATTTCAATTCTAGTTGTAAATCATGCAGACGCAATTATTATCTTTTTTATTTTGGATTTTAAATTTAGGAAAGTCAGATAGGTAAAGTAAAGATTTTTTATTTAATGGCCTATCTGATTTTTTATGAAAATATGTTATTCAATATTGGGAGAAATAATTATATGCCATAATTGTGCATTATCTCCATTTATGGAACAGTTATCAAATGGCAAGCTATAGGCCATTAAGGAAAATGAAAAAATTTTTTTTACTTTTCTACCTGCAAACATACTATTATTTGACTTGTAGACAGTATACAGTTATTTCATATGTGATTTGGGAACAGTCAAACTGTTGGCTCAAGGTGGAGGGGGTAGTGTTTTGAACTGATGTCCAAGGCCGTAGGCCGAGGGAAACAGTTAAAACACTATCCCCGACACCGAGGGACAACTGTTTGACTGTTCCCAAATCACATATGAAATAACTGTTTTATTGCCTGATCAATTAGTGTTTTAACAGTACTTGCAGAACAAAAAAGGAACAAGAAAAATTGTTTTGCACATAATTATGTTAATAATTAAACTTAATACTTTAACTATGTTATGTCACATCATTCTGGTTTATGATCAAGATCGATGGACGCTTCAAGTGGGAATCCTCAATGATGTCAGAGCATGCGAGGGAAACAGCGGAAACTATGGACGGGTCAACAGTTCGCGAACGTTGACATTTTTAGAATTTCAGAAAACAGTTAAAAATACCAAATTACATCTATATAAGGTATCAGGTAATAATATTAACTACATGTACAAATGTATAGACCTGGTGAAAAACATGCAAAACGATTTTTCAGGGTTTCATACTAATAGGGAGAAAAAATGAAATTCTACAAGGTCAGTCTATCTCCAGTAAAAATAACCCCCGTCTTCTTATTTAAAAAAAAAAATTCAAAAAGCTCCCAAAAATTCTCTTGACCTATTTTGACTTGTTTCACTGTTGACATGTTTTAACTTGTTTCTTGCAGAAGGAACAGGTTATATGGTCATACTTGTATTAAAAAACTGAAAAAGTTGTGTAAAATTTAAATTGTCAACTTTAAAAATAAATCTGAATCGACCCAAAATGTAAATTTTTTTTCTTCTAAAAATTTATTTAAAAAAAGGCCATGAGGGTGACATTTGACTGTAATTAGTTTCTGAACTAGATAAATGTTTTGATTTTGTCACTTAAAGTCAAGGTTTATGCAATTTTGACAGTTCCAAATGTTAAATAAACTGATGCCAGAGGGCGTATTTTATTTGTATAATTCAATATTTATTATGTTATTGAGTGAATCAAACACCTGGAGGGTTTGAAAAAAAAGAGAAGAGAAAAACACAACAAAACAGTAACTGTTATTACTGTCTGTAATACAGTCAAAACTTGCCAAATTTGATATATTATGTTTATTCTTCAATATGAATGGATAATTTGGATTACCAGTATGTTTTATAAATAATACTTAAATGACAAAAATTTTTGTCATTTAATACCATTCAATTTTATCAGATTATAAATATGTTGTCACTCAAACAAAGGTGAGAAATTCCAGATAAAAAATGTAATCTGCACTGTAGTTTTGGAAATATATTATATTTATAGTATAATGTACTGTTGGAAAGATTTGAATGGGGTTATGGGAGTTTTGAAAATATGTTGGAATGGAAAGTGATAAAATGATTAATTGAATACTATATTGGATTTATTAATTATCTTTGTAGGTTGGTATTACTTATATACTGTGGTAGACAGGGATTTTTGTGATGTACTCTTCAATGTACATGTATAGGGAAATGTAAAAGTCCCTAAATATAACGTCACTTTGAGATATTTTAGATTCTGGGCAAAGCAACGTCATATCGAATTTTGCTCAAAACCCCATAGCACATTCTGCATGAAAATCTGTTGGAAGGAAGAAACAGTTAAGACTGCGTATATTTACATAAATTTTGTCCTATTTATGAACAAAAGTAAAAAATAAAAACCTTTTTACAAAAAAAATAAACTGTCACATCGGAAAAATAATAATTAAATCAATTAAATTCCTTCTACAGCCGATAAACAAATGGCTGCCATACAGTGTGCAAATTCTGATTGGCTAATTAAAATGCAAACGTTTAAATGAGTCAGAAGTTTCTAACAGATTTTTTAACAAAATATTAATGCCCATGCACCATCAATGGTTCAATTATATTTTTCTGTTCAAAAATTTGGAATCAATCTTTAAAGTGCTTTACTTAACCAGTATGGCTGATAGACAAAAATAGATTGATGTTTATATTTTATTTTAAATTGATAAGTACATTGTTTTAGAGTTTTTATTAATGATTGAGCATGAAATTGAAAGAAAATTTGATAAACTTTTGAAGAAAGTTTGAAAGGCAAGAAAATAGACATTTTTAAAAAAAATTATGATGCTATGCGTTTATGAGCAATAACTGTATTAGACATCAGGCTTGACCCATATAAACTATAATAAGCCTGTAACGTCTGTTATATTGGACTACCAACTGATCTTGCATTCAGTTAAGGGGCATGTTTATAATTTAATTTACAAAACAAAACATTGCAACAGTTTAAAATTACAGTAGGATAAACAATGCAAAATTCTTAACGTAGAATTTATTATTTTGGCTGACTAGACATGTATCCATATAAATGCACTAGTCTGGCAGTGGTGAAACCTTATCTTTTGATGACATTTTATTCACTACAATGTGTGGGATAGTATGTCAAATTATTGAATTTGCTTAAAATTTGCCAAATGTAATAAATGAATGGATTTAATTCATGTCTGGACATAACAGCACTGGACAAAATATTCTTATGATGTAACTCAAGTATGGCTTTTGACCTTTAATATTCCTTGAACCTGATGGACAGATATGAAGTTTTATTTAAATTCTTTTAAAACTTTGATTTAATTGACCATTTGGAGGCAGTGAAATGTCGGACATCATCACCAACTGCCTGAAGTGAATACATGTATGATTTAAAACTTTCAATGACCTTTAAGGTATTTTTATTTTTACCATGGTAACTTTAACAGTAATATTGTGCACCTCTAAATTTTGAAATTATATAATTTGCTACAACTTTGTTGTTGTCTGCTTGCACAACAACATTGCTGTTATATAAGAGTGTTGATTGTGTTAGTTGTGGCCTATTCCCATAATACAGGAATAGGCGGGCGTAATCACTTAATCACACTACAATACTGTCCGACCAGGTTGTATACTGTTATCTGTGGTGGTGTTGTTAGTTTTCACTTCGGACCACTGCAGGAAGCCACATTGAATTTACCAGAGCACAGTTCAGCCACTGCATCGGTACTGGGCAGGATGTCAAGCAGTTTACCAGTACTAGTTGCCTTCACTTTCGCAAGGAAGTTGAACTGAAATTTCTGTACATACCCGAGAGCAAAGGTGCAGTGCAAATGACTGTAGAAAAGATTTCATGATCAGTTACAACGAAAATGACCTGCCCTGTCCAGGAATCGAACCCAGGTCATCCAACAGTCTACCTATTGAGATAACCAGACAGCTTAAACTGTTCGCTGCTTAACTTTTAACATATTTATACCAAGATCCCTTAAATCAAGAACGGTCAGTTCCGAACATAAAGCAGGACAAGTCCATTGTCATGTAAATTGTAGTTCATGAAGTTTTATAGGCCGAAATATTGTCAGTGATGTTGAGCTTCTTTGACAGTTTTTGAGATTGTTTTCCCTCCTTTTTATTTTTCCTACAACTCCTTTGTGACGGTTTCAATCTAACTGTGAATATTTGATTAGCTCTTACTATTAATATTTATGTAGTAACATGCATGTATTTAAGTTTATTTTCATCATTATAGACTGTATTTACATATAAAATTGAATTGTTAAGAACTACTTAAACATGGACTGTACATCTGTTGCTATTTTGATTATTTTAACTTCACTGGGTGTGATGGCACTTTGCCACAAATCCACAGTTTATATTGGATTTAACATGTGTTCCACGAATCCACAACTCTATGACTGAATGTATTTTTTTCTAGTGTTATTATTTACCCTAGGCTTGAAGTTGAAAATTTTATATTTGTGAAATTTTGCAAATTTAGATGGTTAAGGTTCTCACCTTTAGTTAATACAAATTTATTTTAGTTTGTTTGTTTTAGAAGCTATACTTAGCTTATTGAAACACTCATGAATCTGTTCCAGGAACTAACCTGTACTAAGCAATGAATGTTAAGTTTCTTGCTCAATGAAACAACGGCTTGCCCCTGACAGGGTTTGAACCCACACAGTCAGCAATCCTAAGATTTCAAATCTGACGTGTTAACCACTAGACCATGTTGCCACTCGCACCTTTCAATAGTTTGTCATAAAATTACATGTTGTTTTATATATATTTTCAGGAGATTCTTTACATTTCATCGGAGGATGAGAAGCCCTCTATTTCTCTGTCAACAGAAGATAATTTTGAACCTTGTGTAAAGATGTATGAGTCTGAGGAGCTTCCAAATATCCGGTTCAAAAGTAGGGAGGCCAGGAGATTAAAGCATAGGTACAAGTTATATATCTTTCACATTATTTAATATTAACGTCCCTAAAGTGTTAAGGCTGTTGGAAATGGTCTATTCCTTTAATCGCAAAATTAACAATATTTTTTTTTATTTTCAAGAAAAACGTGTTAGTGTTAATATGTTATGTTTGGATATAAAGTAATGCAGTATTTCTATCTACTCCAATACAAATAAAATTCATGGCCAGAAATTGCAAAAAAAAATGCAGTATTCATACTTAACTACTAGCATTTGATTTATATCACATGTTCAGAAGAATGCTCAGCCTGGTCATGACCCTTGGTCTGTTTGCAGCTGAAAAATTTACAGACTGAGCTAGTTTTCAACGATTTATACTTTAAGTTGGGATTTGAACTATTTTATGTTTGTTCGGAGTTTTGCTTGTATTTATTTTCTTTTAAGCATACTTTAGGATATAAAATTCTTGCAGCTCAATATTTTATAAATCAGGATGTCAGCATTGGAAAATTGGATGTCATTTTTATTCACCAACCACTTAATGGTAGGGGGAGTCATGTAGAATTTCCTTTATCTGTCTTTCATACTGTCCTGCACAAAACAGCGGCATGTGGGGACATCCTAAACACATTTCTAGTTAAATTTTGTTATTGAAATCCTTAAGATTTGAATGGACTGTTCCAAATTCAAATCAGGGCATATTCATTACACATTTTGAAAACTCTGGGTTTAACATTTTAATTTAAAGGAGAGTGCTGTTATTTAAAAACTTTGAACCTTATTATGACATAAATCACTATTGAATTTTGATTGATTTTTATTTTAAATAATTCACTACTACTAAATTTTGATTGATTTTGATTTTGAAATATTGATTTTCTTTCTGTAGGCATGAGATTGAAAACAAGAAGTCAGTTGAACAGAAGTGTACAGTTTCAAACAACAGTGAAACAGCCAGAATACCTCCTCTACCAGACCCCTCTCTTTTCATACCTGGTAAGTAACAATGTCTCTGAAATGGCCAGCACAATTGTGTCAGGACAGGTTATACTGTATACACACAAGTTATCTCAACAGCACACATTAGCAATCCTAGCTGAAGCTCATTTATAAATGATTGTCTTCTCACTTTGGTCACAATAACCTTTAGGATGGCAATACTTTATTTGATCTTGACTTATAATTGACCTTGATCTTGAGGGTCAAATAATTATATTTTGATTATTTTTTTTGTGTGATAATTTGCCATTACTTGGTACATGTAATTAATAAATGAATTTTCTGCAACCTATTGACGTTGAATAATTCATTTTTTTTCCCACTGTATCTATGTTGAATAATTCATTTTTTTCCCCCACTGTATCTCTGCCCTTGAGTAATAAAACTACTAAAGTAATATTTCATAGATTACTTTGCTTTGCATATTTATTTGCATATATAGAATGCTAACAAAATTGAAATTATTGTAGAATGGACTTGTCATTTATATTCTCCACAGTTTTAATCTTTGTTTAAATAACACAATCGGATAAAACTAGTTTTGGAATCATATATGAAATTTGAAAATGCAAATTATAAGTGAAATGTTTTATTTTCTATTCCAGACAACGAAAGAAATAGACATCCATCTTCAGAAAGATCATCCAAGTCCCGTACGACAAAAACACCAAAGAGCTTAAAAAAGAAGAGGCAATCAATAGAGGCCATTAAGACGAAAGAACGAGAAATTCTCGGTGATTTGTTTGCAGTAGATAAGTCTGTAAAGGTAGTTAAGAGGAAAGTGCTACTAAAAGATTTAGAGAGTGATAAAATAAACAACAAGAGACCAAAGTCCATCAGAACTGGTTTAGTTAAAAAAGAGTCAAGTAGTAAAGAAGCTTTGCTTAAGTCTCTGAAAGAGAAAGGTTCTAACAAGTTACAATATAGACAGAATGTAGACAATAAAAGCCTCAGCTCTTCAGGAAAATCTGTCAGGGAAAGAGAACATTCCACACAAACTCTTCATGCCTCGGATAAAACTTGTCAGGGAAAAACTCAGTTAAAGGATGAAAATTTTGACAAAGCAAATGTTGGTAATGATAAAGATTCGAATCATTGTGAAGTTGTAAGAAGGTTAACTAAAGGTACAACGGAGCAAATTGCAGTGAAAAATGTGGTTAATGAAGTTAAAAGAGTTGCTCAAGTTGCTGATGGTGATAGACATGTATCTGACAGTTCGGACATGTGCCATCAGGTCAACTGTTCAAGAAGTGGACCGTTTGATTTACTAATTTCATTAGATCGAAACTATAGAAAAGAATTAGAAAATTTAAAAGTATCACCTAGGAGCGAAAATGCTGTCAGATTTGATAAGATACCTATAGTGAAAATAAAAACATCACAGTCCCTCCTTAAGTCAGATAGAAAATCAAAGTCAATAGAAAGTTCTGGGAGTGAATCTGATAGTGAGAAGGGGAGAAGACATTTCACGGATGTTTTCTCCGACATCAGTGAGCCTGAGAGTGACAGTGGGGTTAAACCAGTGAATGATAAGGACTTTGACCATGTGTTGTCAAAGGACAAAGTGTTTATAGATGTTGATAGTGGTGACAATGATGACTTAGATAAAACATTGATAGAATGTAAAAATTATTTTGTTAAGACTGACCAGTTTAGTGACATTAGTGATAATGAGTCTGCGGCTGTAGAATGTGTTATATCAGATACTGATGAAAACATTGATATAAATACACCTCTAGGTGGGAATGATTATCTTGGAAATTCAGCGCTGAGTATAACAGTTACTGACTCCGACTCCGATGTAATATTTGTTGACATGGAAAATGCAAGTGAAAATAAAGCAGAGACTAGTATGCCTAAACTAGAGGTAGCCATAAAGACTAAATCGAAGAGTTTAATTCAGTCATTTGAAATGCCTATTTTGGAGAAGTATACAGAAGTGTATAGTTCGCTTCGTGATGGAGCATGTGAGCAGGAAGTTCTTCCAGATATCGAAGAGGATAGCGTTGATATTAGTGATAATGTAATGAAAGCTCCCGAACTTTTTCAGAAAAACATTAATGTTCTGTCCAGTGGTTCTAGTGAAGCGAATAAAGTCAGTTGTAATTTATTTAAAAAGTTTACTTTGACCAATGATGACAGTTCTGATTTGACATCGGTTTCAGAAACTGTTTCATCATCATTCAGGCCATACTCATCACAGGCCTCATCATCGTCATCATTAGGAATGAAACATTGTAATAGTGATATAACCTTGTCAAGTCCCAAAGAATGTTCGACTCCGAAGTCGAGGAAGAGGAAGTTACACAAATCTAGAACATACTCGTCGTTTGGAAACAGTGAAATATTTTCAAATTTTACGTCCTTAGCTAGTACTAGTCAGTCTGAGAAGCTTTCTTTTACTAAACAAATGGATCAATTAACTGTTTATATGAAAGATTTTTTAAACCTTAGTGATTCTAAAACATTACCTCCGAAAATACCAGGTGCTCAAAAGAATATTGTGTATGGTTGCGAGGAAGATGGACTGCTCAATCTTGGACATGCTTTAAACTTTATCGAGAATTTTTGTCGCAAATATATAATCCCTAGTGACTTGTGCAAAGATGTGATAAATAGTGCATTTCAGTCAGAATGTTCTTTGTCGCACATACATTGGGCTTATAATTTATTGTCTGAATTGAATGCATTAAGAACAGCAGAAATAGATATAAGCTGGGAAACTATAGAAAGTTGTCTTAACACTGCACTCACAGCTAGTCAGGGAAAACCATACTACCAACTTCTTCAGTCGACCCTTCTATTACAGCTGGGAAGCGATGTCCTGAAAATGGACCTGTTTTCAAGGAACCTTTCCGACAACAGAGAAATAAGGAAGTCATATGCATACAAAATGTTTGCATATGATGTTTCAACAGAAAGTCGGAAGAGGTTGATTTATTTCTTGAATCAAGCGCTTCATGCCGGACAGTGCCGCACTGAGGAAGAAAATAAGTTTCGGCTTCCAGACGTTTTGCCAATGTTACAGGTAAATTGATTTTATTATCTGGCCCTTTGTTCTAGAAACCTTATGCAAGATTGACTTGCCGCGTTTTTGTTTTCTTCACATTTTGCTGCTTGAATTGAATAATGTTAGACTAAAACTTTTTTATAGCAAGTTGCAAATCTTCTTGCATTAAATAATACTATCTTTAAACAATTTGGATCAATTTGCAGATTTATAGATAGCTCTGGATCAAAATATGAAATTCTCATGATTTAAAATACAAATGTACATTTTACCACTTTAGATTATTTTCTTTTTACAAGATTCTTTGTGCCTTGGCCAAATTACCTGTTGCTACATAAAAAATTTCATTCTCATCACCTGAAATTGCTGCATCACATGATGTATTAGTAGATAGTTTGCTCACACTGCTCGTGTTGTCAACTTGAGCTATTTCAGAAGCTATAATTAGACCTCTCCTAGCTGACGCTGTGTTGGCAGCTTTAGATTTATAAAACTAGATCATCCTACCTGTGTCAGGAAATTTACTTTAAGGTCACTATGTTGATAGGTCTGATAAATGGATGATTGCACACCCCCACCTTGAGAATTGCTCCCCCTGTCAGTTGCCTTCCTATAATGTAAGAGAGGAGACTTGCCCTCCAAAGTACATGTATTTGCCAAGGTAGAGAATTGCCCCCCTCCTGATTTTTAAAAAAAAACCTTTTGTCAAAAATGTCAAAATATACATTTTGATAGGGGTAACAATACGTATTAACTAGGTGCAGATGTAGTTATATCAATTCACTGGTACATTGTATACTGGACACTTTATTAGGTCACACTATCTGTGTTGGTAGCTATACCTACATAACACACTTTATAATTAGGTCAAAATACCTGTATTGACAGCTGTAGCTGTATCATACACTATCCTACATCATGCTTTCTTTGTAAATGGCTGCTGTAATAATATTGCACACTTAAATTCGGTCACAATATATGAATTGGCAGATTAAACTTTGTCATAAACAACAATAAGGCTACACTACCTGTGTTGGCAGTGAGAGCTATATCAATTCAATTCAATATATTTATTGCATAATACATGAACATATTTATAGCAAACAATTAGAGCTATATCAGACATTACAATTTGGTCACACTACCTGTGTTGGCAGTTTAAGCTATATCAGACACTACAGTTAGGCTTCACTACTTGTGTTTGCCAGTTGCTTTATCAGACATTACAATTTGGTCACACAACCTGTGTTAGCAATTACAGCTATATCAGACACTACAATCTGGTCACAATACCTGTGTTAGCAATGACAGCTATATCAGACATTACAGTTAGGCTTCACTACCTGTGTTGGCAGTTTAAGCTATATCAGACATTACAATCTGGTCACACTACCTGTGTTGGAAGTTTTAGCTATATCAGACACTACAATTTGGTCACACTACCTGTGTTGGCAGTTTAAGCTATATCAGACATTACAATCTGGTCACACTACCTGTGTTGGAAGTTTTAGCTATATCAGACACTACAATTTGGTCACACTACCTGTGTTGGCAGTTTAAGCTATATCAGACACTACAATCTGGTCACACTACCTGTGTTGGAAGTTTTAGCTATGTCAGACATTACAGTTAGGCTTCACTACTTGTGTTGCCAGTTGCTATATCAGACATTACAATTTGACCACACTACCTGTGTTGGCAGTTTAAGCTATATCAGACATTAAACTTTGGTCACACTACCTGTGTTGGCAGTTCTAGCTATATTAGACATTACAATTTGGTCACACTGCCTGTTTTGGCAGTTCTAGCTATATTAGACATTACAATTTGGTCACACTACCTGTGTTGGCAGTTCTAGCTATTTCAGATTTTACACTTTGGTCAAACTCCATTTGTTGGCAGTTCTAGCTATATCAGACATAACAATTTGACCACACTACCTGTGTTGGCAGTTTAAGCTATATTAGACATTACAATTTGGTCACACTGCCTGTTTTGGTAATTCTAGCTATATAAGACATTACAATTTGGTCACACTGCCTGTTTTGGCAGTTCTAGCTATATTAGACATTACAATTGGGTCACACTACCTGTGTTGGCAGTTCTAGCTATTTCAGACTTTACACTTTGGTCAAACTCCATTTGTTGGCAGTTAGAGCTATATCAGACATTACAATTTGGTCACACTACTACCTGTTTTGGCAGTTCTAGCTATATCAGACACTACAATTTGGTCACACTGCCTGTGTTGGCAGTTTAAGCTATATCAGACACTACAATCTGGTCACACTACCTGTGTTGGTAATTCTAGCTATATAAGACATTACAATTTGGTCACACTGCCTGTTTTGGCAGTTCTAGCTATATCAGACACTACAATTTGGTCACACTACCTGTGTTGGCAGTTTAAGCTATATCAGACACTACAATCTGGTCACACTACCTGTGTTGGCAGTTTTAGCTATGTCAGACATTACAGTAAGGCTTCACTACTTGTGTTGCCAGTTGCAATATCAGACATTACAATTTGGTCACACTACCTGTGTTGGCAGTTCTAGCTATATTAGACATTACAATTTGGTCACACTACCTGTGTTGGCAGTTCTAGCTATTTCAGATTTTACACTTTGGTCAAACTTCATTTGTTGGCAGTTAGAGCTATATCAGACACTACAATTTGGTCACACTACTACCTGTTTTGGCAGTTCTAGCTATGTCAGACATTACAGTAAGGCTTCACTACTTGTGTTGCCAGTTGCTATATCAGACATTACAATTTGGTCACACTACCTGTGTTAGCAATTACAGCTACTGTATAAGTACTTATTTTGGCGGGGGTTTATATTTGGCTATATTGGCGGTCAGGGTCAGTAGCGCCAATTCAAAACACCGCCAATTTAAAGCACCGCCATTTTAGATCATCGCCATTATTCTTTGAAAGGTAGACAACTCATGGTAAAATAGCTTTGGTTTGTCCGAGTAATCTCCCTTGATTATTTGTAATAAAAATAAAAATTACAAGTAAGCTGAAAAGAATTTGTTTATTTTTAAGTCTTGGTACGAAACTCATTTAATTATATATCTATATACTGTATTTATTACGAAGATGATCACACGACGAGAAACAAATCTAAATGTCATTTATTATCGAATTTAAGTAAACTAGTATTTGTTTTGTTTTCACTGTTATGTTTCATAATTTGAAATAAAACTAATGATAACTGTAATTATATAGCAATCAGTTGTGGTGACCGTGAACAATTTTTCACGCTTTAAAGACTGCAGGATAATAGGGCATACCTTTCTCTTCCATGGTCCAGTTACCACACGGTACCATATTTACACCTGTCTGATCCCAGTTAATTATAAGAATTAGCACGATGTAAAGATAAAGGTGACCAAGCATAGGTATACCGTATGCCGTAAAATAAACGAGGACAGTCAACTACTGCGTGACCGGTGTTATTTTTATTTATTTTTTTTATTCTTTATTGTAATCGCCAATTCATGACCCCATATTTATGCCAACAAGTGTTTTAATTTGGCGGTCTAAAAGCGTTTGCGCCAATTTATGACCCCGCCAATTCAAAACACTTTAAAAAACGCCAACATTTGACACCGCAGATATAATGCGCTATACAGTATATCAGACATTTAACTTTGGTCACACTACCTGTGTATCAGACATTACAATTTGGTCACACTACCTGTGTTGGCAGTTTAAGCTATATCAGACATGCAGTTCTAGCTATATTAGACATTACAATTTGGTCACACTGCCTGTTTTGGCAGTTCTAGCTATATTAGACATTACAATTTGGTCACACTGCCTGTTTTGGCAGTTCTAGCTATATTAGACATTACAATTTGGTCACACTTCCTGTGTTGGCAGTTCTAGCTATATTAGACATTACAATTTGGTCACACTGCCTGTTTTGGCAGTTCTAGCTATATTAGACATTACAATTTGGTCACACTGCCTGTTTTGGCAGTTCTAGCTATATAAGACATTACAATTTGGTCACACTACCTGTGTTGGCAGTTCTAGCTATATTAGACATTACAATTTGGTCACACTGCCTGTTTTGGCAGTTCTAGCTATATTAGACATTACAATTTGGTCACACTACCTGTTTTGGCAGTTCTAGCTATATCTGACATTACAATTTGGTCACACTACCTGTGTTGGCAGTTCTAGCTATATTAGACATTAAACTTTGGTCACATTACCTGTGTTGCCAGTGCTAGCTTTATCAGACACTACAGTTAGCCCTCACTACCCATGTTAGCAATTACAGCTATGTCAGACAGTATTACCTGTATTTGCAGAGAATGAGGTCATCCTGAGGTAAAAGGGCAGGGTTGAGTAATGTGTATTAGGCTTTTGAAACAGCAATTTTCAATACTTTTATGATTGTTTCATTGTATATAATTAGAGACGTACTTTGTTTGGAATGCTTTCTTTAGATAAAACGCAATAGTTCTACTTTAATTTGAATTCAACATCAGTAAAGACATTTGTACTAATTCATTCCAGTCATTCTGGATCCATTTATAGCTTGACAATTAAAAAAATAGGGAGAACTTTTGTACTCACCCAGTTGTTAGTGTCACACTTTAAATAAGTATTTTTACCCAATTTTTGGTGCAAGTTGATATCTTTAAAACTACTGAAGGTATTGGATGGAACTTTAAACACTTGTTCTCACTGATTATCTTTCATGATGGGCACAGGCCCCATAACTCTTACATTTTTATATGCCTGAAAGAATTTCGGGCATATTATGTTACACCCCCTGGTATCCGTCCAATTGTTCGCAATTTGGTTTCCGGAGCATAACTTTAAGGTCCATTTGGCCTACAATATTCAAACTTCATAGGATGATTGTCCATATTGGGTAGAAGACCCCTATTGATTTTGGGGTCACAAGGTCAAGGTCACTATAACCTTAAAACTGAAAACAGTTCCTGGAGCATAACTTAAGTTCCATTTGGCCCACAATATTCAAACTTCATAGGATGATTGTCCATATTGGGTAGAAGACCCCTATTGATATTGGGGTCACAAGGTCAAAGGTCACTATTACTTAGAAATTAAAAACAGTTTCTGGAGCATAACTTGAGTTCCATATTGCCCACAGTGTTCAAACTTCATAGGATGATTGTCCATATTGGGTAGAAGACCCCTATTGATTTGGGGGTCACAAGGTCAAAGGTCACTATTACTTAGAAATTAAAATTAGTTTCTGGAGCATAACTTAAGTCCCATATTGTCCACAGTGTTCAAACTTGATAGGATGATTGTCCATATTGGGTAGAAGACCTCTATTGATTTTGGGGTCACAAGGTCAAAGGTCAAGGTCACTATAACCTTAAAACTGAAAACAGTTCCTAGAGCATAACTTAAGTTCCATTTGGCCCACAATATTCAAACTTCATAGGATGATTGTCCATATTGGGTAGAAGACCCCTATTGATTTTGGGGTCACAAGGTCAAAAGTCACTATTACCTTAAAACTGAAAAAAGTTCCTAGAACATAACTTAAGTTCCATATTGCCCAGAGTGTTCAAACTTCATAGGATGATTGTCCATATTGGGTAGAAGACCCCTATTGATTTTGGGGTCACAAGGTCAAAGGTCAAGGTCACTATTTCCTTAAAACTGAAAACAGTTCCTGGAACATAACTTAAATTCCATTTGGTCCACATTGTTTAAACTTCATAGTATGATTGTCCATATTGGGTAGATGACCCCAAGTGATTTTGGAGTCACACGGTTAAAGGTCAAGGTCACTAAAACTTTAAAACTGAAAACTGTTTCTGGAGCATAACTTAAGTTCTATTTCACGCACAATATTCAAACTTTATAGGAGGATTGTTATTTGATGGATGTAATACTTTATTTAATTCCCATGTCTTACAATTGCTTCATCTTTACTTAAAAAAATCACTTTCGAGCATATAATGCTCTGCTAGCAGTGCTCTTGTTATAGAGTTTCTCCATTTCTTACTGAGCAAAATAGTCGAGTGTGCTGTCTTGCAGACAGCTTTTGTTAATATATCCGAATAAATCAATGATGTAACAATTAATAGGTCATGTAATCAAATATTTCACATTTTTATACCCCCAAAAACGAAGTTTGGGGGGGTATATAGGAGTCACCCGGTGGTCGGTTGGTCGGTCGGTCGGTCGGTCGGTCGGTCGGTCCAGACGTCCGTTGCATTTTCCTTGTCCGGACCATAACTTGAAGACTAATGGTTGGAATTCAATATAACTACATACAATGGTCAAGCACATTGAGAGGAAGTGCAGTGCACAAGAACCATAACTCTATCTTGACTAATTACAGAGTTATTGCCCTTTGTTACTTTTCCTTGTCCGGGGCATAACTTGAAAACTACCGGTTGGAATTCAAAACAACTTCATACAATTGTCAAACACAATAAGGGGAAGTGCAGTGCACAAGAACCATAACTCTATCTAAAGTAATTACAGAGTTATTGCCCTTTGTTACTTTTCCATTGCTTTCTTTTGTCCGGACCATAACTTGAAGACTAATGGTTGGAATTCAATATAACTACATACAATGGTCAAGCACATTGAGAGGAAGTGCAGTGCACAAGAACCATAACTCTATCTTGACTAATTACAGAGTTACTGCCCTTTGTTACTTTTCCTTGTCCGGGGCATAACTTGAACACTACTGGTTGGAATTCAAAACAACTTCATACAATTGTCAAACACAATAAGGGGAAGTGCAGTGCACAAGAATCATAACTCTATCTAAAGTAATTACAGAGTTATTGCCCTTTGTTACTTTTCCATTGCTTTCTTTTGCCCGGACCATAACTTGAAGACAAATGGTAGGAATTCAATATAACTACATACAATGGTCAAGCACATTGAGAGGAAGTGCAGTGCACAAGAACCATAACTCTATCTTGACTAATTACAGAGTTATTGCCCTTTGTTACTTTTCCTTGTCCGGGGGATAACTTGAAAATTACTGGTTGGAATTCAAAACAACTTCGTACAATTGTCAAACACAATAAGGGGAAGTGCAGTGCATAAGAACCATAATTCTATCTAAAGTAATTACAGAGTTATTGCCCTTTGTTACTTTTCCATTGCTTTCTTTTGTCTGGAGTATAACTTGAAGACTAATTGTTGGAATTCATTATAACTTCATACAATGGTCAAGCACATTGAGAGGAAGTGCAGTGCACAAGAACCATAACTCCATCTTGACTAATTACAGAGTTACTGCCGTTTGTTACTTTTCCATTGCTTTTTTTGTCCGGAGCATAACTTGAAGACTAATGGTTGGAATTCAATATAACTTCATACAATGGTCAAGCACATTGAGAGGAAGTGCAATGCACAAGAACCATAACTCCGTCTTGACAAATTACAGAGTTATTGCCCTTTGTTACTTTTCCTTGTCCAGAGCATAACTTGAAAACTACTGTTTTGAATTCAATACAACTTCATACAGTTGTCAAGGACATTAAAAGGAAGTGCAGTGCATAAGAGCCATAGCTCCATTTTGACAAAATACAGAGTTACTGCTTTTTGATACTTTTCCTTGTCTGGAGCATAACTTAAAACGTACTGGTTGAAATTCAAAACAACTTCATACAATGGTCAAGCACAAAAAGAGGAAGTGCAGTGCACAAGAACTATAACTCCATCTTCAGTATTTATAGAGTTATTGCCCTTTGTTCCTTTTCTTTGTCTTTCTGGACTTATTACAGAGTAATTCAATAAAACTTCATCAATGGCCAACCACATTGAAAGGAAATGCAATATACAAAAACCACAACTATCTTTAATTGCCCACAACCATAACTCTATATTTCAATTCTTTTACAAGATATTCTGTTACTAGTAACATCCTCATTTCCGAAGCAGTCTTGTGGGGGTATTAATCACATTTAGTGATAGTTCTAGTTTGTTTTGTTTTATTTTTAGGATTTGTTAGCACTTTGTGTAGATGTTAGTTCAAGCTGTATAGACTGTGCCAATATTTTAGCGGCAGATATGGTGAATACGTATAAGTTCTTGCCAAACCTCTCCGATAAACAGCTCCTGATACAGTCTGTATCATCCCAACTCTTACAGTGTAAACTCGTACAACTGGTGCTAGAGTCACAGTATGACTGTCATCAAACTTTAGGCAGCGCATTTCCCGACTCACTCGAAGATATTATACAATGCTTCTTTAAGGTAAGTTAAACACTGTTCAGAATTTGTTTAACCTTGGCATGTTTTCTGCACTGTTTGACTACAGTCCATTGTTAATTATGACAAACTGGCATGTAAGTACTGTAATAGAGTAGGCAACAGTTTGTTCTTGTCAGGCTCTCTAGGCTAGTCGTCATCACTAACACTAAAGGACTTGATATTTTGGGGACATTTATGGGCAAGTGGTTATGGGAGCAATTTCTGAAACGTTTTCCCTGTTACTACTTTTGCTATGGTCAATTATGAGTAAAAAATTTAACCCAACTATAAATATTGTTGTCTTGTACATGTATATGATTAGGTTAAGCTTTGCGTTTCTTATGATCTCATACTCCCATTTTATTATTTGTTCTTGTTATTTGAGAGAACAAATGCACATGCTATATATGTTTTAATTATTAAAAAGGAAAAGTGGAATAAATTATATATTAACCTAAAGTGTATCTATCATAGGTGATGCCATTAAAGAACCCACTGACTCCTCCAACCACACCTAATGATGAGATACAGAGAGAGGACGATGGTGAATTTAGTATGTTCTCACCAGAAGTGACTGAAGAAATAGCCTTACTTCTATACTTTATGGTTGTCAGTTATCTCCAGGCTTCAAGTGGTATTTATCAATACTTCACTTTGATAGTTTATGATATTTACTTGATTATCTTACATTCTGTCTCAGAAACAGGCCTCTGTGGCAGAGGTGTAAAGGCCTATGTTGTAAAGGTGTTAATGCCTATGTGTCTGAGGGTATGAAGGTCTCTGTGGCAGAGGTGTAAAGGCCTATGTTGTAAAGGTGTTAATGCCTATGTGTCTGAGGGTATGAAGGTCTCTGTGGCAGAGGTGTAAAGGCCTATGTGGTAAAGGCCTATGTGTCTGAGGGTATGAAGGTCTCTGTGGCAGAGGTGTTAAGGCCTATGTGTCTGAGGGTATGAAGGTCTCTGTGGCAGAGGAGTAAAGGCCTATGTGTCTAAGGGGTGAAGGCCTCTGCAATGGATGGATAAAGGACCGTGTAGCAAAGGAGTGAAGACTTGTGGTAGAGGGAGAAAGACCTCTATTGCAGAATGGTGAAAGCACTGGGCTCGACTAATTTGGCTGTTCAGTGCATCCAAACTTGTCCATGCCATAACTTCTTTGTGCATTGAAGGAACTTTCAAATAACATGAATTTAGATTTTTAGACACAAATATTCATCATGAGAATTTGTGTCATGCACTTGAACCAGGTCACCAGGTCAGAGGTCAAGTTCACCTAAGATGATGCAATGTCAAGATTTTGCGTTGGGTATAAAGAGGATGTGTTGTGCACATCACACCTATATTATACATCTTTCTCCTTGATCTGAAGCTTATAGGTTGGCATGTCTTGTAAAATTATGGTATGGAAGATTGATGGTTCTTAATAGTTTAATGTCTGAGTGCACCTGCGCTTTTACTGGTCACCTTCACTTTAAGGTCACCTTCACTGTTAAGTTTGAAAGTCACTGAAAAGACAGGTGTTGACAAAATGACTTGATGAAGCTGGCTAACTACTAGTAGTTTATCAATTCTATTTAGGTACTTGCTTGTATCAGTAATAATGTAACAAGGGATAGCAAAGGTCACCTTTTGAAATATTCTTAGTTTCTGTGGTTCAGACACTAAATAGCACTCTGTAAGTAGTGAGAACTATTAGAAGTGATTATATCTGAGAAAAAATAGGAATATGTTTTAAGATAATTCTAATTTTTGGAAATAATTTCATTACAGATAAAATGTACATGGCTTTGCGTCTAAGAGTAAATGTTCCGGAGGCGAAGAAAAGATTGCGGTCTGATGACGAGGTAGAATTGAGTAAAATGCATGAGCATGCATGTGACCTTGAGCACCACTTGAGATGTATGAACCCTAACCTTACAGAAAACACAGAGCATTATCTTTTCTTGATGAAATGTTTAGGAGAACTAGTCCAGGTTTGTAACCTCTGAGTTTATATACAAGACTTGTCCTGATTTTAAGTTTGGAAGTTTGGGGTTAATTCGATTTTGATATGAAATACAGTATGGTCAAGCTGTGTATGACCCTGCAGTGTGGATGTGTAGGCTGACTAGATCGGGTCTAATGATTTCAAGTAATGGCTTCTTTCAATAATTCTACAGCCATCTTTGTTTGCTATAGTTTACTAAAAGCTGGAAAATTCTGTCTATAAAGTCACTTGTGCCTGATGTAATAAAATGAAGGAGCACACTGGGTCTGTCTGAAGTAATTAGTAAAATAAGAAAGTTATTAAGGATGGCACGTGGCTGAGTGGTAACGACCTTTGACTTTAAAATCACTTGTCCTCCACTGCTGTGCACTAATGGCTGATTCCTGCTAGGAATCATGAATTCTTTCATGCGAGAAAATACAGCTAGCTAAGGTTATATAAGGATGATTGTTCTACAAAGCTGCATGCTTGTGACTGAAATCATGCACAAATAAAATCATATTGTCAGCCTGATATTAAACCTTCACCATTTCATAAATATTGGCATATAAATATTACAAAGAACACAGACAATAGCTTTTAATCTTGTTTTAAAAAACCTACAAAAATTGCGAATGTCATATGCATTATTTATAAGAGCATTTTATGAATATTTTATCAAACATATTTGTATGTGGGAGGGGGGAATGTAATATGAAGATTTCTATTTTATAACTGAGACTGTCAGTAACATTGTACAGTCTTTTTGACATTTTAATATTCAATTATTAGCTGACAAGTTTCCCTGAAATGAATGAATTAATTGCTTTTGGACTTGCATAATTTAAGTGTGCTTTAAAGCTTGAATGAATTAATTGCTTTTAAACTTGAAATAATTGCTTTAGAGCTTGAGTGAATTAATTGCTTTAAAGCTTGAAATAATTGCTTTTGAGTTTGAGTTAATTAATTGCTTTAGAACTTAAAATAATTGCTTTAGAGCTTGAAATAATTGCTTTAGAGCTTGAATGAATTAATTGCTTTAGAGCTTGAAATAATTGCTTTAGAGCTTGAGTGAATTATTGCTTTAAAGCTTGAAATAATTGCGTTTGAGTTAATTAATTGCTTTAGAACTTAAAATAATTGCTTTAGAGCTTGAAATAATTGCTTTAGAGCTTGAATGAATTAATTGCTTTAGAGCTTGAAATAATTGCTTTAGAGCTTAAATGAATTAATTGCTTTTAATTATGGATATATCATTTGCTTAAGAGCTTGAATGAAACAATATGTCGCATTGCTAACATATTTTAATGTATGTTGTATTAGTTATAATAGTGCATTTACCAAGCATAGTGATGAGATGTTAATAAGCCCCTAATGATAAGATATTTATATATTTTTTTTCCTCTGTTGAAATATATTCATATGATAAAACTTAATTTATTCATTATTTCAGGAACAGTAAGAGTGATAATACAGAAGGCTGGTTTCCCTTCAAAATATTATAGACTATTCCATTTAGAAATGTTCTAAATAAGGATCAAAGAGAAACCATTGTGTAATAAAAAATTTAAAGCAAAAGATAAGAAAACAGAAATTATTCATGCTTTCATAGTGAATAGTAAGGTTTAAAGAAAAAGAAAAATAATTGTGATCACAAAGTATTAAGATATAGAGGAATTTTGAATGAATAGGTCAGCATTGAGTAGTCAACTTACAAAGATGGACTGAAAATGAAGGTGTCAAGATTGCTGTCAGGTGTTAAAGGTAATATGGTAGCACAAATGTCAGAAGAAATGGAAGATATTTTCATAAATGTTAAAGATGTGGAAGGTATTTACACAAATATCGGAAGAAATGGAGATATTTTCACAAATGATGAAGAAATGGAAGATATTTACACAAATGTCAAAGATATGGAAGACATTTACACAAATGTTGGAAGAAATGGAAGATATTTTCACAAATGTTGAAGAAATGGAAGATATTTTCACAAATGTTAAAGATATGGAAGGTATTTACACAAACGTCGGAAGAAATGGAGATATTTTCACAAATGTTAAAGAAATGAAAGATTTTGCACAAATGTTAAATATATGGAAGACATTTTACACAAATGTTGAAGAAATGGAAGATATTTTCGCAAATGTTGAGAAAAAAGAAAATATTTACGAAAATGTTGAGGAAGGGGAGGATATTTACACAGATGTTAAATGGAAGATATTAACATAAATGTTGAAAAAAAGAAAAATATTTACGCAAATGTTGAAGAAATGGAAAATATATATTGGGATAGTTGGATGAAAAGTAACTGTTACCATTGTATTGTCTCATTTTATATTGTTAACGAGAAATGCACAAATGAGCCGTGTCACGACAAAACCAACATAATGGGTTTGCGACCAGCATGAATCCAGACCAGCCTGCACATCCGCGCAGTCTGTTTAGGATCAATGCTGTTCGCTATCAGTTTCTCTACTTGTTATAGAGTTGGTAAGATAACAGCATGGATCCAGATCAGACTGCACGGATGTGCAGGCTGGTCTGGATCCATGTTGGTCATAAACCCATTATGTTAGTTTTGTCGTGATGCGGCTCAACTGTTGTTTTGACATTGAGATATATATGAGGCTGTAATTTCATATATATGTAAAGTTTTTGTACCAGTCAGGTGTAACAACCCCCATGACTGGTATGTTATGTATCTTGTAATAAATCCTGATTATGAACAATGTGATATACTGTACAGTTTTAACTTTATATAATACGCATAATAATATTTTTAAAAAGTCATCATAATAATATGTTTAAAAAAGCAAAACAAAGCCTAGTTGTGTTGAATGGCTGTACTACTCAAACAATGAACAGAATTTGAAAAAAAGAAGAACAAATAAATTTTTGTGAGTGACAACTGTTACTGTAAAATTATGTATACATTGTCAATAAGTTTGTTATTTTCACATCTGTTTGATACACTGTTAGGGATAATGTTTTGGTAAGAATTGTTTACATGAGGTATTTTTAATAAAATGTTTGTACATCATAGCTTGAAGTGCTTAGCCCTATGTTGGTTTTGCTTGAATTTGTTTTTTGTGAATAAATATGCTAGTTTGTTAAATTTATTATTTCGGTCATTATGTATTTTGACATCAATTTTTTTCCCCTGGACTTTGAAAACTGCCAATTTTGTGGGCGTTTAGAAAGATATTAAAAGTTTTCAAGTTAATGCAAAGAATTGATTACAAAATTGTTATAAAATCAAAGGAATAGAAATAATGGCAAAAATTACAAAAAACACATTGAAGGAGTTAAGTTAATCTTAAGAGTTGACATAATCATTTAAGCTTATCTTTAAGAGTTCACCCCGATGGTTGAGCTTATACTAGTTCAACTTACCAGTTGAGCTTAGCTTTAAAAAGTTCAGCTTATCTTATACGTTCAACTTATCAGTTGAGCTTAGCTTTAAAAAGTGCAGCTTATCTTATACGTTCAGCTTAGCTTTAAAAAGTGCAGCTTATCTTATACGTTCAACTTATCAGTTGAGCTTATCTTTAAAAAGTGCAGCTTATCTTATACATTCAACTTATCAGTTGAGCTTAGCTTTAAAAAGTGCACTTATCTTATACGTTCAACTTATCAGTTGAGCTTATCTTTAAAAGGTTCAGCTTATCTAATACGTTCAACTTACCAGTTGAGCTTAGCTTTAATGAGTTCAGCCTACAGGTTAAGCTTATCTTTGGAGCTAAGCTTATGTTAAGAGTTCAGCTTATCTGTAAATCTTATTTTAATTCAGCTTAGTTCAGCTTATTGGTTAATCTGAATGAGTTAAGGTAATCAGTTAACCTTATAGTTCCACTTACCTTTAGAGATTAAAACATCATTCTGTTTCTCTTGAAAACAGATGAATGTTTCTGAACATTTGTTATGTATTGAAAGTTATAGTCTTTGTATAGAAGTTAAAAGATTAGTGTATGTGTATGTAGAAGAATTGAAATATGTCACATGTGGTTAAACTGTAAGATAAATGGAGTTTATCTGCAGCTAAGATTTGTAAGGATGGTAGGGAAAATGTCTTGTGTTCAAATTCTAGTCTGGCCTAAAGTTATTCTGTTCTTGTAATGTTTTTTTCATAGTTTATACATATATATATATGTGTGTGTTAATTCTTTATATATAAATATGAATATTTCGAGTGTACTTTTTAATACACCACAAATAGTCCCCATGCCGTGAGCATTATATTCATAAAAGTAGTTCTGTGTGTATTATTTTTTGACATGATAAATATAGTTAATTTGCTCTTATGTATGTTAAAGTATTATTATACCCCCCTCCAAAATAGTTTTAGGGTACCATGTAAGAATAACTTACATTTGTAGTCCTGTGATCAAATGTCTATTTTTGTTTTGGTCCTTGTTGAATATCTTGTAAAGCAGTATTAATTTTAACTTGAAACTTACGAAAGTATATATTATGAAAGGTCAAAAGGGCACTGGTTTGCAAATTTTATGTAAACAGAATTGGGCTTTAACACGATTATGCCTCCTTTTTTAGGGCTTAGGAAATGTCAGTAAACATATATCTCATGTCGTGAAACCAGTATATACAACATTATTTTGAAAACTTGTAAACTCATTAGATAATGTTTCCTCTTCCTAATATATGTCTAAACATTCACCTTTTTCTAGAATAGAATATCTTAATATGAAAATTAAACATATACATAATTGTGTAGCAGATTTCATTTCAACTTATTGTTCCAAGTTTGATAACTCTCACCTGAACTTTTTTTAACTAGATAAATTAAAGATATATTTATGTCCCTTTTTCCAACTAAATAGTGTCCCAGAATTTACTTTTTCTAAAAGAAACCCCTTAAAATCACATAAAATATAAGATATATGTGAAGAACAGAATTAAGCATATCCATGACTCTTGATTTACTTTTTTGACTTAGTTTATTGCACCAGTAAGCTTTGAAAATACCCCGTAAATTGATATTTTTATGCCACCGCAGCATCTGCGATGCGGTGGCATATAGCGATTCACCTGTGTGTGTGTTTGTTTGTGTGTGTGTGTGTTATATAGATTATATAGTGAACTTAAAAAATCTTCTTGTGAAAAACCACTTGTCCAATTTCAACCAAACTTGGCAGGATTGATCCTTGGGTGAAAGTTGTTCAAAGAATTTCATTCCATGCAGAAATCTGGTTGCCATGGCAACCAATAGGAATTATAAGAATAAATTTAAAAAATCTTCTTGTAAAGACCCAAAAGGCCTAGAGCTTAGATATTTTGCATAAGGCATTGTCTGGTAGACCTCTACCAAGATTGTTCTAATTATAACCCTGGGGTCAAAATCGGCCCCGCCCCGGGGGTCATTGATTTTCACTATATGTACATATAGTAAAAACTTAAAATAACTTCTTGTAAAGACCCAAAAGGCCTAGAGCTTAGATATTTTGTATAAGGCATTGTCTCGTAGACCTCTACCAAGATTATTCAAATTATAACCCTGGGGTCAAAATCGGCCCCGCCCCGGGGGTCATTGATTTTCACTATATGTACATATAGTAAAAACTTAAAATAACTTCTTGTAAAGACCCAAAAGGCCTAGAGCTTAGATATTTTGTATAAGGCATTGTCTGGTAGACCTCTACCAAGATTATTCAAATTATAACCCTGGGGTCAAAATCGGCCCCGCCCGGGGGTCATTGATTTTCACTATATGTACATATAGTAAAAACTTAAAATAACTTCTTGTAAAGACCCAAAAGGCCTAGAGCTTAGATATTTTGCATAAGGCATTGTCTGATAGACCCTTACCAAGATTGTTCAAATTATAGCCCTGGGGTCAAAATCGGCCCCGCCCCGGGGGTCATTGATTTTCACTATATGTACATACCGGTATAGTAAAAACTTAAAATACCGTCTTGTAAAGACCCAAAAGGCCTAGAGCTTAGATATTTTGCATAAGGCATTGTCTGGTAGACCTCTACTCAGATTGTTCAAATTATAGCCCTGGGGTCAAAATCGTCCCTGCCCCGGGGGTCATTGGTTTTCCTTATATAGATAGTAAAAACTTTATAGTAAAAAAATTTCTTCTAGCAAATGCTAGAGGTTAGATATTTTGCATGAAACATTGTGAAGTGAACTTCTAGCAAGATTGTTCAAATTATAGCCCTGGGGTCAAAATTGTCCCTGCCCTAGGGTCATTGATTTTCAATATATACATATAGTAAGTAAAAAGTAAAAAAATCTTATTGTCTTAAGGTACAAGGCTTAGAGCTTGAATATTTGTTAAATGATATCATCTATAGGTACTCTACCAAAGTTGTTCAAATTTTGCGTCTTGTGTCAAAATTAGCCCCGCCCCATGGGCCATAGGTTTTCCTTATATGTATATAGTAAAAACTTAAAAAATCATCTTCTCTAAATTTACAAAGGCTAGAGTTAAGATATTTTGCATGAAACATTATGTAGTGAACCTCTAGCAAGATTGTACACATTATAGCCCAGGGGTCAAAATTGGCCCCACCCCCAGGAGTCATTGATTTTCACTATGTACATATAGTAAAAAAAAAAAAGAAATATTTTTGTCTGAAGGTACAAGGCATAGAGCTTTGATGTTTGCTCTATTATATATTCTATGGGTTCTCTACTAAAGTTGTTTTAATTATGCCCCTAGTGTTAAAATTGGCCCTGCCCAGGGGCAGTGATTCTCATTATGTTCACATAGTAAAAACAGAAAATAAAACAAATCTTTTCTGAATAGGAGAAAGCTACAGCTTAGATATTTGACTTGAAATGTTGTTTGGTGGACCTGTATCAAGATTGTTTTGAATTAAACCCTTGGGTCCAAAATTTTGCCTTGCCCAAGGGGACAGTGACCTACTTTCTTGTCCTTTGATGTACAGCAATGAAATTTTGACCATGTGCACAGTTTTAGTTGTAAAATTGAAACTTTGATATCAGGTGAACTAGATTTTGATGATGTGACCTACTTTCTTGTCCTTTGATGTACAGCTATGAAATTTGAACCATGTGTACAGAATTAAGATGTTAAGTGAACTTTGATTTCAGCTGACCTAGATTTTGACAAAGTGTCTTACTATGTTGTCCTTTGATGTAGTCATGAAATTTAGGCTGTGTGAAATATGACCTTCACCACCAAATTCACTAGACTCAAGTGCATTGATATATTCCTACTCTGATCTTTTATTGAGTTAACAACAGATTTAACCACTAATCTGATAATAAGAATTAGATAGGTCAGGGATCTATGCATTATGACAATCTTCAAAATTGTATAGAAACAAAGAAAATCTGTTCCGACACTACTATTTAGTGTTGTATTTATGCGGTGGCATAGCATTTTTCTCAAATGCAATCTTGTCTTGGAACTGTACTCCTAAGCGGGCATTTTCCCTAGTTATATTTTACAATAATCTCATGCAATGGAGTTTTGCTTGAATGAAAATGGTTATATTTGTAGCATATTAGTGGGTGTATTAACTGCATACAGTGATAGCTCAACCTTTTTGAACATACCTGCTATATAAAGAATTAAAATAGTGCTTTCAATGTTGTTGTTGTTGTTGTTGCCTGTTTTATTTGTTCCGATGTTAATTCTATATTTGATATTTGTTTGTTTGCACTACGATTCTACTGAGTATCAATGATTTAACATTCAATTTAACAACTTTGTAACTGCTTGTACTTCTGCCTTTAAAATGTTATTATGCCCATCCAAGAGTAAATGGTGAGCATTGAGGTCAAATCAAAATAAGTTCTTTCTCTACCAGTTTTGTATCTTTCTCTACCTGTTTTGTATTTTTCTCTACCTGTTTTATATGTTTTGTATCTTTCTCTTCTTGTTTTGTATTTTTCTGTCTGTTATGTCTCTTTCTCTACCTATTTTATATGTAATGTATCTTTCTCTACCTATTTTATATGTAATGTATCTTTCTCTACCCGTTTTGTATGTATCTTTCTCTACCTGCTTTATATGTAATGTCTCTTTCTCTTCCTGTTTTGTATGTATCTTTCTCTACCTGTTTTATATGTAATGTCTCTTTCTCTACCCGTTTTGTATGTATCTTTCTCTACCTATTTTATATGT